ACATACATACATACATACATACATACATACATACATACATACAAACATACATACATACATACATACAAACATACATTCGTACACAAATGTATGTATATATGTATTTATGTATGTATGTATGTTTGTTTTTATGTTTCAGCTCTATGTTTGCGAAGTATCTACTTGAAGGCTTTAATTCGATTGTGCATGCAGTTAAATACAAACGGTCAGAATTCAAGGTCGCTTATATTTCGGACCTTGTTCTAATGGACTGTATCACAGCTCGCGCATCTTTCTATTATCTATTACGGGGTTTACCTCTGCCTGGATGCTAGTTATGCCTTCTCACCACTACTCAATGGTTAGTGTGCTCCTACGATACAGGATTTAGCAATTTCCGGTTGTCGGTCGTCTGCGCATACAACTCAGCGTCTAGCGTTCAGTCACGCTACGTCTCTAGCGAAGGCTGCCACGCAGAAAACTATTAAACCAGCTGTTGTAAGTCATTGGATGATCGTCCATCAATTTTGTGTATTTTTTACACATAGCTGTACAGTGTACAGATCAATGCATTCGTTTGATTTTGCTACATATAACCCGGGTATAATTCCTGTTATAAGTGCGTCGGTGTTTATAAATTCGTATTAGTGCACCATGGCCTTACGAGATTACGAGGCACAGTTTGTCATACAACAAATTGCCCTTATCACTTGTTCCCCCTAGTATTGTCGGCCTGCAATTATATTATCAAGTGGCTCTGAGAGCACTTTTCGCACGTACTCAATGTCAAATCGTTGTTTTGACTCGATCAAACCAGCACACCGAGTTAATGTGTTCTTGTGGAGATACGTCATGAGTTCGCGATTGTCGCCGTTCCTTACGTTTGCATATGCGGGTTGTCACAATTTAGATCACTGTCGGAGATGAGCTGGTGCTCGGGGAACGAGAACACAACAACAACGAAAAATGGATGATTAAAATGCTAACGTCACGGGGGGCCGCTCCTCGATTGTGCACACAGGTAGTTTTGAAAGCACAAGCACTTTTACAGCGATATGTATTTGATTATAATTCTTCATGTTCTCCGTGAGGTAGGGTTCATTTTAAGCTTTTTACTCATGAGCAGGATTTGCGGCACACATCCAAGTGGATACATAGTGTATGTTTGTATGACATCTGAGTTGATATTAGAAACTATGTTTAATTTTCAGTCACATGCGGGCGACTCCACGTTCTGTATTGTTGCTTACATAATTATATCTTATTTGACCACAGGTTGGCGATCGTGTGGATGACATCGCTAGTATTATCGCGTTTCTGAAAAAGAGTGACTACTGGCCTATCTTTGTGTCTGGCGGACTAGGTATGAGTCCTTGTAAAACAATATCGTCTTTGTATTGTGTATAGAGGAGCGCAGCCAATGGCGTTGTTGTTAGCACTGATGGCGATGGGTTGCGATTCGATTGGATCTGTCTCTGTACATTTTGCGACAAAACACTTTGTAGCAAATAAAAGTTACAGATGCAAATCTGATTTATTCCAAACCAACAGGTGGCACCCACGACGACAAGACCCGAGAAGGGGTGGCTACAAGCCTGAATGTGCCCTGTGAGCGAAATGAAGAGTGCTGGAATATTCTCGATATCAAGTATAAGAATCTGCCTGCTGGATTTAACGAGCAACGGCAGCGCATGTCGAGTTTGCCCAGAGGTATGCTCTTGCCCCCTTAGCGTTGATATTCATGGTTTATAAGCAGCTTCTGGTAGTGATCATGCATTTGTACATACGTACAGGCATATTCCGGATGTTGGCACACCAACGAATTTCAGTAGAGCTGAAATAGTGAATGTACCTCTAGTGACGGACCCACATTCTGAATTTTGTTTTAGTGTGCTCGTAGTATACAAAAGGCAATAGAACATCGGCCATTACCGGAAAAGAGGGTTCTTAGTGTTTCGTGCACGATCTAACAGTCTATTTTAAAGAGTGACTAATTCCTACTAACCCCTCACAACTACATCTCCCCAATCATATCAGGATGCACTCTAATTCGGAATCCTGTAGGAGCTCCAGGTTTCTCCATCGACGGTATATATGCCTACCCTGGGTTTCCGCGTATGCTTCATCCGATGATGGAGGAAACTGTTAATAGCCTCTTCCCTGATATTGTCGACTTCACAACCTTGGATGTGGTATGTCGCTGTTATATTTGTTTCATTTGGCGTGGGCTGCAATGCATGTGCCAGTGATAGTTTGTACGGCTGTTGTCTCCTGCGCTATTAGTTTAGTTTTCTCAATTTACTCTCATTTGCGCTGTTGAGCAACTGGGATGGAGCGAAACGCAGCATATCTTACGAACTTGCCCGATATATACCGTGGAAGTTCGGGTATTAATTTGAGTATACATTATAGACTGTGGTCATTATAGGGAGGCGTTCTCGAATTTGTAATTTTATTTTTAAAATCTATCGGTCTCATTATGGCGGATAGGGGCATGTTAGGCCATTGTCTGGATACTTCGGAATTTGTCATGAATTGTCAATCTAACACGACACTCTATCTGCTTCAACAAAGGTTCAGCGCCATCTTGAATTGTCACTTATACTTTGTACTTTTCATCTATCAGCATCTGGAAACCGTGGAAGCTGCTATCGCGAAGGAAGTCGAGGAATTCTCAGAGCGGTGGCAAGGGGTGGGTAGCATTGGAATATATCCATCGAATGCATCTTTCGGAATGGTATGTGTCTTGAACTATACCTTTTGGCTAGTCAGTACCAGATATGCTATTCAACAACTCGACTTCAACCAGATAGATCTAGCAGTCTATATGATCTGTTCGGACTATACGGATTCACACTGGTATCAATGAACATATGCATATTTGCAACTGTATGGGTCCGGATCCGGGCCTGTGTATCGCATTACTTTGTATTCCTCCACTGCCATAGTTCTCAGTTCTTTGACCATACCTTGGGCTGTGTCATTGTCGCGTATTAACGCCCGTTCTGTGTTCACCCTGTTCTGCATGCTTTCTTTTGCATACCCCCAGCGAAATCAAGGCATAGATTATGTATATGCCGGGATATTCAGTTTCACATGCCTTTGAAATCGGTCAAGTCACAGAAGCAATGTGCAAGAGGCTTTTCGGGTCGGTGTCAATTGAGAGACCTGCCGCTACAAATGCTGTTGGCAATATATTTCACTGGCGTATTAAATCCTATTCGTGTATCTTTGCGCAGGTCAAATTAAGACTGAGGTACCCTGCCGACAATGAAGATGTACGAGCCGACTTCGATGCAATGGTGAAAGACATGCAGTGTCGACTCGGGGTGGAAGCGTGAGAGGTGTCTAGTTAATGCTCATAAACGCGTATATGCACACAGAGAACTCGACAAAAATACGATGTAGAGAAATGGTTTCCAATGCCTTTTCAATTCGCCGTTGCACGAAGTGCGAGAGCGTTTCAATTCCATTATACCAGAGGACATACGATCATCCAAAATCAAACTCATGTATCCGGGATTCCTTTCGCTTCCGTGAGACCTTCCTTTGGTCTGTCAGGTGCAGATATAACGTGCGATCACATTCACACATGAAATTTGGAAGTATTCATCTTGACATTCACAAATGCAATTGCAAATCGGAAAATAAGCATTTTTTTCTCGATCGGGACACCTTTGTTGGAAAAGCCAATATTAATGAGCAAGTAATGAGAGCGAAGCAATGTCCAATAAGCTCGTGTTCGTCATGATGAACGTGAAGAAGGATGCACTCGATTAATTGGCCTTTTAAATTCCGTATACTTGAGGATGCTCGTGACTACTCCAACGACCTTATAGATTAAAAAACTATACAAGCTTGTATTTATAAATACTATCCTCTAGAATGGATGAATCTGTAAAATATTCAATTTTTGATTGACCTGAATCTGTAAAAGATTCAATTTTTTATTAACCATACACAAAAAGACCGAGTGCGGACATAAACTATACCATGTGGATCTGAAACATTAAACTCTGACAAACGTTTCAAACGATTCCTGTCGCAATAATCTTGTGATGTATTGAGGAATGTGCATTTAGACTAATTGTACCAGATCACCTGGGCATGTTTTAAACTGTGCGTATTGGGTTCGTCAAAGTGTGCATGCCCAACGGTCGAAGTCAGAGGATATCTGATACTGTCCGAACTCCCAGCAACTCACCACTTATCGATTGAATTCAATATCAAGACCCCGGTTTGAACAGGGACAGCAAACATTCCTTTGCGACAAATCGTTTAAAGTAAATTCAGGCATCACACCTCACAGACGCCAGACTTTTTACGTTAAAGACTATCATGAAGCCATTGAGAGGAAAGGGCAGACTTGGTTGTATAGCTCACTGATATTCTAGAGATGTCCTTCAATGTCCAGGTTAAAACTGCAGGGCGTCCATACAAGATTCTCAATCAATATGCTGTCAAAAGCACAAGCTGGAACAATTAATACAGCAGACCCGCCGTCCAATACTAAATGCTACTCTTGCACACTTCACTCGGGAAGAAAATCTATAGCATTTTGCATAGTTATCAGACATGCTTGAGCGGCCAGCCTATTATACTGTGAAGTAAGACTTATAATAGGCGCGAGCCTAATTCTTCAGGCGAACAAAACTTCTTCGAATCCAACGAAATATCCATTTCTCAGTGTTGGGCTAATATCGATATGCTTACACTTTAACGATCGAATGCGCTCGGTGAATGGATGCGATTAATTTGCATAAAATAAAAAAACGAGGTGCGCGCAACAGATAAAGCGAGGAATACATCAGGATAAACTAAATTAAAATTTATACTATTGAGAAGCGCATTTGCTTATAAAGATGCAGCAACCATATCTACAAACAAGTTGTGAAATCGGTTATCGGGCGTGAGCTCGGGATGGAACGAACAACCCAATAGTGATCCCTGACGTGCCGCCACCACGACCTCCTTTCCGTTCTGGTCGATGTGCTTCGCTAAAATTTCGACGCCCTCCTGAGGTTTGAGAGAATGTGATATGAAGTCAGATCATTGATTCGGATAGGTACAGGTAACAGGTATGATAGGATGCACGTGATTTGCACGATAGCGACGTAATCCTCTGTCAAGTGAAGCGTGATCGATATTGCAAAACGGGAACAGCGTGCACTATTTGATTATAGCGGCCTACCAAGCACAACACAATAGACAAAAATGGTGTGCTTAACGCCTACGAATATTCAAGAAGGAGTTCCGTGAATGCTTATGCCTGCGAAGATATGCCTTCAATTCACATACCCCGGTTTCAAGTATAGCAGGAGCTCGAATAAACACTCCATGGAACGGCTTCTCGCCGAGCACAGGTACGGAAATGTCGACCTCAAAACTATGAACTTGTGCACCGAAATGATTACGGTCTACGGTGACATGTAAGCCACCAATGAGCGCCTGACCTCCGATCTTGGCGCTTTGAGCTTTATCAGCAAGAAATATGAGACCTGCACACGTCCCCCAAACCTACAAGAGAAATACCGAGCATTGATCAGACTACCAGAGTAAAGTGTCATCTCCAAGGATCACGTGTGCATATATGTAGTAAACCATCAGTATATTAGCCATACTTGAAAGAAATACGAGTGAGCGTAAGCAGCTCAATACTGCCAGCCATCTAGTCTGAGATGATAAAAAGTGAAGAGTATAATTGTATAGACAACGGCAAATAAGCTGGAATTTCAGGTGGAACATGCATTGCAGTGCGATATTCTCTCCTAAAAGATTAAAACACTTAAATGCGTACTGTCAGTCTCTGTATGAGAAAGTAACAATTACCGACTTCTTTTGAGCGCTGATACGCAGATAATTTCACAGACAGGTATATATGTACTGCTATAAAAGAGTGTTATGTATTAATTATTTGTAAGCACCAGACCGTATCGGTACATCATGGAAAATGGCAGATTAACTTCGGAAAATGGAACTCGCTAAAAAATTGCCACAGACCATTGTCACTGACACATGACGGCCAAGATAAAAGGACACTCGGGGTGCGCTGCTGGGCATGGATATACTACATCAGTCGTGCGTTGTCCACATGGGGTACATTAAGAGGTGCTTCTGAACCACCACATTCATTGGCGGAATGACATACCGGCTTGCCGCTTGCGACAAATTCGCGCAGGATATCCATCACACCACTACGGTTCGCAATGTGAGCCATGGTGGTGCTTTCGCCACCTGCAATGTCCATTTGACGGATAGAGGGTGATCAGAACAATTTACCAACATAAATGGTGAATAACAAAGTGATTGATAGTCCGATATAGACAACCACATGACTAAGCAAGACGAGGATACGTGACCGCGCGAAATACTTTGCTGAAATGCACAAAACAAATATGCGATTGCATTGGATCATGTCTAACAATGATGAAAGCCCAGTAGCAGGGAAAACGTGTACCGTTAACTAGAGGTGCTATTGGTGAATTACCATTGAGTTCAGTGTGACACTGCTTAACACTGCCGGTCGTTACACAAAATAATAGTTCTACCCACTACACGGAGTCAAATACAGATAAATGCGGCATACATTGTCTATATATACGTCGTTATGTGCCTCAGAAACGTCAAAGTGAATTTGCTTCGCTATCTAATACATAAAAAGGAGTATCCATACATAAACACAAGCTACACGCTGATACATCTATATAGTTATATGTATATTGCAATATTTATGGATATGTAAACACAAACAAGCCCATGCAAGTGTATAAAGATAGGCAAAATACACCTCCACGCATACACCCACATACAAGATAGGCATATATATAAATATACATATGGGTATATATATATATACATACATACATATATATATACACATACATACATATATATATATATGGGTATATATATATATAAATACAGAGAATATCTATGCACACTTGTACGCATACATATACATATATACATACATAAATATATATATATATATATACATATACATATACATATACGTATACATGCATGCCTGAATTAATAAATGAATATGTACACACATACACACACACACATGTATACGCATACACATACATATGCATACCCACATCTAAGTATACATATTTGCAGCTATGTGTATATTTGAATACTTATGATTATCACACAAGCAAGCACATTCAAGTGTACGAAGACAGACTATTCCATATACATACATGCGCACATACATACATACACATAGACGTACACACACACACACGTATATATATATATATATATCTATATATATAAGTATGTACGTGTATGCGCACACACGCTTACGTGTATACACACACACACATTCACACACACATATATACATATTTATGCATTATTTTATATTTTATGTCATATTATATATATACATACATACATACATATATATTAATATATTTATTTACATGGAATTCGTTTGGATAAATATACATATTAGCATGCTACACATGTAGATACATTGGTAATCCAATAAGTATGTGCGCGCCAAATAAGGATATGTGTACACGCAGAGAAGGTAGATACAATATATAGCTATTTTCAGTTCCAGAATACATGTTTTGAGTTTCAAAATACATGCCTGGAATAATGAGTCCATCGATTTTGTTCTGCTCGAAATCCTCACGAGTACGCAGCGCTACCGCTTTCACTCCAGCGGATTGCTCTATAGCTAGAACATGTTCCCGGAAAGCACCCTGAAGGGCTGCAGAAGCGGACAGATAGAGTTGTCAGGAATACTACCACCGTAAACGAAGGCAGATTATATCGATCCTAACACGTTCAATAACCAATAAAAAAAAATCTAACACCAGCTGCGCCGGCGTGTGTTGAACTGATAAGAGACCAGCGCGCAAATAAGCAACTGTTTTTTGCCTATTAAACCTCACATGTTTGCGCCCCAGCGCTGTAGGAGGTCATATGTGCCACAGATTCATATGCCAATTTTGACGCAGAGTGCACGTACTCATGATTGTGGGCTTCAACGCACTACAGCTGCACATTGAAAAAAATACGACCCTTAAGTATCGCGACAGAGACAGATGCATGTAGCTTGCACACTGACAACGCTATAACACTACTCAGATGATATGTAAAGAACCACTAGCCGTTTGGTAACTAAACACTTGTAGGGTCTGACTGCAGTAGGCAGGGATGCGCACATACCCATAAATGAAAATGTAAAATGTTAGAAAAGGCAACCGAATTTTGACGGACTGAAAATACCACCACTGCAGTAGACAGAAAAACACAAGCACGTATGACCTAAACCATATTGTAGGGACACCTTTGAGCATTTGTTCATATCTCAGGAGGAGAATGCCCTGCCTCGAATATCATATTCGATGTGAGTAATAGAAATATATGTGCCAGAGGTACAAATGAAGGGGAAAATGCGAGACGAAAAATCTGAAATGAAACAAAGAGTGCATGCATGTGGACTCGCGCAAGCTAAGAATATGAGCCCGTACGTTCGCAGAAAGACTGACTAGGCGAATACTCTGACATGATCGTGAGACATCATCTTCCCAAACCACCCCATAATTGACATAGTCTTAGCGTCCAGGAGAGCTTGTGATAGGCTAGTACACCCGTATAGAATAATTGAAAGTGAATCGTATTCCCGTAAGGGCGCACATTTTGATGTAGGAAACGTATAAAAGTTCACTATCCTCCCACGTTCGGGTTTCGTTGCTCTCAGAGTGACACTGAATATAAATTCTTGATATATGGCCATTTGTTAGTTTTCGATTATAAATCGTCCACCTGTGCTAGCTAGTCCAAGGAACACCACCAATGAGTATAGCTTAGTAATGCACCAACCACACAACGCGAAACCTTAAGCCAACAATACGAATTCCAACCAGCACAACTGCATTCGCACAAGTCTACCAGACCACGCAATAACACACTACATTTACATAAAGCCTTGGACCTACCTAGAACACCGATAGTGATATCAACGCTCTGACACATGTTAATTGTCTGTCGATTAAATTGGTACTTTGTAAGTATATGGAGGTTATATTTACCGCTTGTTTTAAAAGAAGAACCTGTTAATGGATCAATAGTGAGGGAGTGTATGTTCTTCATGCCCTTCAATGACCCCATCCGTGATTGATGTTAGATGTCAATCTGTCATTGTATGTTTATTTATAGAACTGATTGCGCACGCGATTGGGGTCCGTCATCATTTTTATTTTCTTAAAAAAATCACGTATATAAATAACAGCCTAGCACCTAGAGCACTTTTCAGTCAAATCTATTTTGTAGAACACTTTCTCTAGACACCCGTTGGTCTAGAGTTGAACATACATACGGAAAGTTGCAGACTTGCAGCCTGTACAGGCAATAAAGTTGACATTCTAATGAATATCCCAGTCATTTGATTGACTAAATATATTCCACGAATTAGGACATGAGACCTGTGTTTCCAATGTGGACCCTGGGCCTGAAGGGTAAATGAACTAATAATAGAGCTTTTTGAGGCCCATTATCTCAAAAAAAAAATCAAAATTGAAAACATTTTAAACCAATAAAAAAGTATATATAATGTTTTTAACCGTGCTTGGTCTCGCACCAAACAATCGATTGTACTGTATCAGCCTCTAGTGAAATGTACAAAGGATAAATATAGTTGGCCATGAAACTAGCTCACCTAACTTTTGACGTACTGTATTGATCATGATATAATACTATCGAAAGTTGTAAAGATAGCGTGGGGAAATTTGTTACTATCGGTGTTCATGAAAAAAGAAAAGAAAAACACATTAAAAAAAACATTTATTACCCTGAAAACTTTCGGATAAATTCTTTTCTTACTCTGTGAACGTCGTAAGCTCGTGATGAGTAAAAGTATGTCGTGAGACTTCAGAACTTCAGAAGTCAGACAGTGAGATACAGAGTCACAGAGACACAGACTCACAGTCCCACAGACTACAGAGTGAGTGACCGAGGAACACATACAAATAAACGCGTAAAAATGCATATTATTATTTTCAGCGTTTTTACACTCGTATTTTTTTTTTAGGAAATACAAATATATGTACATATTTAAAATTAGGAATACTATTATTTTATAAAATATGGCATATTTAGGAAAAAATATGGCATATTTATTTCATATTTTATATTTTCCTAAAAATATATTTCGTGCATTTTTCATATTTAACATTTTTCCAAAAATATATATATTACATATTTATTATTTCTCTTGTATAATTTCCTCATATTTATTATTTCTCCTATATTTCCACATAAATACAATTTCATATTATGTATTGACATAGCTTGCTATTTAGTATGCGACGATAGTTGTTACTAAAAGTTAAAAACACATTGATAAGCAGTCCTTGTGTATGCACAACACATATGCACAACGTAGCATAGTAATCTACTAAGTATGAACATATATATAAAGCTTACACTTGGTTTATGTACACTAAAAAGGTAAAATATCTATATATTAAAAAGTCATGAGTTATATGACATCTGAGCACGTACTTTTGTAATGTCATCATTCTGAGTCATAGAACTCGACAGAGATCATTTAGCAGTAAAGCAGGAAGATGTACAGATTAAGCTGCACTTGAATACTGTGCACTGGGGTGGCATATTTGGGCATGTGGGCTCATATTGTCGCTGTATATAAGTCAAATAAACTAACGATCTATGTGTTGACTTGTGTATATAAAATGTGTGATTGCTTGTCAGTATTTCAACACCACAGTATAAAACTGTTTTTTTTTGCTACCTTTTGTTCCAAAAATCAATCAATTTTCAAATTGGTAACAATTTGCCACCTTATTTGAAAAAGGTGGTCAACATGCATCGAGCGGAAACGGGTTAAATTGCAACTGACGCTATACTACTGGTACGATAGCTCTGAATTGGTAACAGAGCTCAAGGACAATACTATTGATAGGCGTGAACAATTATTTGTATGCCTGTGAACTATGAAGTTCACAATGTCCCTTCTGGCAGGATATGTGACGAAGTGTGGATTACGTCCTGTGACCAGTATGCGCTCAGGAGACAAAATATCGAATCGGCATGTATTATGAAAGAAATGTTTTTCGGGTATCACCCGACTACATTAGAGTAAAAAAGAGTGTCCAACATGTGTTTTGAATTTTTTGATGTTATTTCGTCACAAGTCACAGCGACTCTCAATGACTCAATCTCACACTCGCAGTCTCAAGTAAAAACTCTGTCGCCCTGGGCCTGGAGTCCTGGAGTCCTGGACTCTGGCCTCTGGGGCCTGGGCCCTGGGCCCCCGGGCCCAGGTGGTCTCACTCTGAGACTTTTAGTCTGGTGGTGGGTGTGGTGGGCGCTGGTGGCTAGTGGTGCCAGGTGGACTGGCCTGTCAGGGCTAATTATTACTGATGTATGTAATAAAAAATCACGGCCATCTGTTTAAAAAAAATAATTTAGCGAGACCCTGATCCACAGCCTCAGAGGGCCGTGAATTTTGGTTTAAAATAATAAAAATAGAGCCGGAATATTTAACCAAATGTCGGGTGAATTTTAAAAAAGAAATATAAATAAGTCGTAGGAGTAATGTAGGGAAAGTTGGACAGTAAATAGAGTACATATTCAGGGCTACTTGTTTTTCTTAATAGAATATAAAACAATGTGCTCTGTAAATATGTAAATACATACTTTTTTAAATACATACTATTTTTTTTGGGTTTAGTTAAAAAAAAAGGTGCTTATTCTTCTTGCTAAAAAAGAAAGACTGTTCAAGCGGTTCAAAACTTCAAGACTTTTCTGACGTTGTTGATTGTTCCAGACTTTGGACTTCGGACTTTGGAGTTTGGAGCTTGGAGCCTCGGGCTTTATTTATACTTTTTACTTTTAGTGGACCGTTTGAGTTTCAAAGAGGTGCTAAGGACCTAAGGCCTAAGTGCCCAGGTTCCACGACTGTAGTTTGAAGAGTGAAGAGTGAAGACTGAAGACTGAAGACCCCTAGCCTCAAGGAGTCAAGGCCCGACTACTGGAGGCCCGGAGGGCCCGATGCCCAAAACCCGAGAGTCCGAGGCCCGATACTCCTGGAGTTTTTTATTATAATATCGAAAACCCTGTAAATATATTTTTAGGTGGCTGTGGAAGAGTGAAGACTGGGGGAAAGAAAGAAATTGGACATTGATATTTGATATTTTATTTTCAAATAAAAACTGACTGAGAGACAAAAGAAAATATATTGTCGTATGTATTTATGTATTTTTAAAATACTGCCAGACTTGATTCAAGCTCTCTGAGTCACCAACAATCCATTTTAGCGCGTACATTGTTATTAATAAACCCCCCCCCACTCCAGTCGACAATTCTACATATATACAAAATACTGATATTATTTAAAGTTCCAAATCAATAGTCTCTTCACCGTCTATTAATAGCTACCACTGATAAAGTGGTAAGTGTAAGTTTTGATAGGTACGAAACAATTTACGACATTCATGATTCCACCTTTCCGGGCGTTCATGAAAATTTCCATCACAATGAAGTTATGAACCATAAATAAACTCATTTTATTGGCCTCCGTTTGCCTATTTTGAGACATTTTGTATTTTATAACTTGTAAATAAATATATATATATAAATATATATATATATATTATTTTCTTACGATCTATATAAAAAAATGATCGCGTGGAAACAACAATGTTGACATCATTTGCCTATACAAATTCCTCACTAAAATGAAGAAAAATTCCAAAGAAAAACCATAGCCACCTAAAAATTCAACCAAAAACCCACAATAAAAAACAAAAACAAACAAACAACGTGATGTCACACTTGCCATAGGGTGACGCGGTCTACGTGGGCCGGGTCAAGTGAGTCAACCCCAGGGCCCAGAGTCAATGAAAATGGGGCTGACAGGTGTTCGACGTTGTGTAATAGTGCTACACGCGAGAGAGTGGCCAGAGGAAATTAAGAACCATAGAACTATATTTTGAAATTTTACTTTCGTGTACATAGCGAGAGTGTGAACATTTTAGTATACATACCTGGCACCGTCTTTATTTACTACCATATCGGTGCTAACTATTCTTGGAGCACTTTATTGCGATCGACGATTCAAATAGTAAGTGTATTTCAGTTATTAGTATACTTTAGTGTGATCATAATCATATGATATATGTGGGCTGAGCTTTGTTTGTATGCTACTAATCTGGTATCATTGGAACACTTTCTTTCAATCGACGATTCATATAGTAAGTGAGTACCTTTCAGTTGACAGTATACCAGTGATCAAGTGAGTATCACACCTTTCGCAGTTGCGACATTGGGTAAAGGGGTCATACACGGTATAGAGTGTAAGCCTCAATGACTCCCAATGAAAGTTGTTGATCATTAAAAGTTGGATATATAGTCGAACAGAAAACAACAACTTATTCTTACTCCGGAATTCTTAAATAGTCTTCATATGCAACAGCTATTAGCGAGTATCAGTTATTGAGTGCATGTCCTTGAGTGCTTGAATGAGGATCTCTTATAAAATCCTGAAATAAGATAAACGAGTTCTGAATGTTACATTCTGGATGGGAATATCCCGTTCGTCATTCACAAACATACGATAATTTTGACTCCTGAGTGCTCTTCGCGTTAGCTTGCAGTACACTCTGATCTCAATAATAAGTGCTTTTGAATAGTTAGTATGTCGCTTAATGCAGTCAGAAAAAGATATATTTAGAGTACTTATAGAGATCTTGCTTGTACTACACTTTGCTTTCAGGAATATGTGTGGAATACTTTGTTGTATGGGCTCGACCCTAGAGCCTCGCGGCCTGCGCGAGAAGATGCTCAAACTATCGCGTAGAATGAGACACCGTGGACCCGACTGGTCTGGTATGCATATGCAACACCCTGCCGGAAACACTCAGGTAATTTTATTTTCCCATATTACGTTTTGTATTGTTTTGTGTTGCATTTGGTCAATTCCAATACCTCTGATGATTGTCTGATAATTTATTTTGCGCATATCAATAGAACTCAAAACAATAGTCGGTTCTGTGATTTGTAATGTCCGTGAAGATGGAACTCAGTCGGCGCTATATGTTCAGTGTTCACTATGATAAGCAAAACAGACTCGTATCACATGGGAAACGAATTCCTTTGCTTTAACAAAACGCAGTTCGTGAGTATCTATAACATTGAGTGTCCTGCGGTTGTAAGTTGATTTGCCATTCCTGTATCGCAACCACGTAAGCAATTAATTTCGGTGGCCTGACGTATCGTCGCATACGAGAATACAAACTAAGGTTTTACCGCAACTGGACTGTAATTTTTTTGTATATTCATTTTAAGCGCAATACACACACCAAGACCATCATTGAGCAAGGCATAGTGACCCTAAAAATAGTATTTCAATTTATCTCGTGATTTTCTGTAGTATTGGTAGTGGTCATGTACGAATCGCATGTTAATAGCTTCGGAATGCGCTGTGAGTGCTTGCAATCGCAAACTGTCAAGATCAGTTCCTCAAATGCACGAACAACGCTACTCAAACAGGCCAGTCACAGGTTTGCGCGTGACTGACGATAGGAACTTCAATCTCTGTAAAAATTTCATTTTACTTGAATTGGAATACATCAATGTCGATACGCAGAATGCGTATATAAGTCACTTTCGACATTATATAATTGCTCGCAATAGGATATTTCAGCAAATTAACTTTCATAGTGTGCAATCTGTGCGATGTAACCTCAATTCCAATTTGAATATGTTTCTGAACTACAACAGGCGACGACTATCCTTGCACACGAGCGATTGTCCATTATCGATCCCGAATCAGGAGCTCAGCCTCTATTCGCCAACCAGATGGATGTCTGCCTTTCTACCAACGGAGAAATTTACAACCACGAGAAGCTTAGGGTATGTTGATATTTGACTAGTTGGTGTGTTCACGGTGCGTATTATATGAGTAGCTTCCAGGAACAGAGTTTCCAAATACTTTTAATTTGACTAATATCATAAATATACTGTTTACAAGAATATACTTGTGTGCGATGTACTACTTATAGCTTCTAAACGGCATTATATTTTCCAAACGACAATGGGTTATTTTCTGGAACCTATTTTGAAGGATACAAGTTATGTACGTTTTTTTCTCCTAATTTCAGTATAGAATATGATGCCCATGCTCATAGCTTTTAGCTTGTACAGTTCGTAGCTTGCTTGTTTGCTGCTGAAAGGATTTTTTTGGATTTAGAATTGATATATATATATATATATATATAATAATATAAATATAAATATATATTAATATTATATATATTATATTATTATATATAATTATATATATATATATATAATAATAATATATANATAATAAAATTATAGATATATACATATATATCATAGCGANAATGATGGTACTCTAAATATGT